ACACACACACACACACACACACACACACACACACACACACACACACACACAGTAAACTGGCTGAACAAAGCAGTCTTTTGATGGGGAGCTGAATGCACTCGCTCACACCAGTAACCCAAATCTCACACAGCTCTCATCACAGCCTTCAAACCAGGTGCCAGCTCTACCTGTAGTTAAAGTTCTCAACCTTTTTTAGACCTTTTTTTTTGTCTTAGAAAGCAGCAATAGTATGATCAAGATCTCAAAAACTTGTTTGGACCTTCCTCTGTTCTAAGTTCAAGTCTTTAGATGTGTCCAATCAGATACCGGAGCACTCAGTCTCTTTCTGCTCTTACCTGAATACTTTTGGAGACCATTAACCTGCACAACAGGATACTGTTCTTTAAAGGAATGGCCCATTTAAAGCTACTGTTTGTAGCCCAAAGGGAGTCACAAAACCTTTTCAAAAACATGAAAAACTTGATCCAGTTATCCAACAATTATTTGACTTTGTTACTACAAGCACTGCTGAGAAAGTGTGAAGGAGATAAGGATCTAAGGCTAAAGACAAAGTTTCTTTGTAGATGTTGTGACATTTTCTTTCAATGTGGGTGATATCTGGAAAATACTGTAACCACTGTTAAAGGAACATGGAAAAAAAAAAGACAGAAGTACTACAAATATAAAAAGGTCTGAAAATTTTCTGTGTATTTATGTTTTGGTCATTTAAAATACAGTAGTATGACGCCTGTTGGGATGTGCTTTCAAAATAAAGGTCATTTTATTTTTATTTATTTTATTTATTTTATTTAGAAATTTATTCATTTCATTTGTAGCACAAAATAAAGAACAAAAAACATGCAATCAAAATAAAATAAAATAAAATGAAAGGCAGCAGAAGAATAATAAATCTTATAATATCTGCCCCTTTTTTGTACCTAAAATATGTTCTAAAGAAAAGTAAATTACAACAAAAATCAAAACAACTGAAAACACACAAAAAACTAAAAACATTTAAAACACAAACTCAAACAACAATTTGCATGAATTTACTTATACTTCTCTATATTTCTTCAGAATACTAGATTTTATCATTCTCTTCAATATAAGCAAAGATCTGGCATTTTAAACCTCATCTTCCATGCTGTTCCATAATCTTATTCCCTGGATTAAAGTGGATCGCTCCTTCAGGCTCGTACGAACCCAAGGTTTCACAAACATTTCAGTTCCCTTAAAATAATAACAGCTCTGTATTTCAACAAAATTTACTTGAATGTTGGAAGGTAACACACCTTTATGAGCTCTGTACATTAATAGCAAAATATTATAATCAACCAAGTCATAGAA